GTCCAAGGACCGAGCCCTGCGGGACCCCACTGCCCACACCCTTCCAAGTCGAAACCGACCCATCCACCACAACTCTCTGGGTGCAACCCTCCAGCCAATTCGCCGCCCACTGGACTGTGTAGTCATCCAAGTCACATCCTCTTAACTTGTTCACCGGTATGGGGTGGGATACCGTATCGAAGGCCTTCCTGAAGTCTAAGTATACGACATCCACCCCTCCTCCTGTGTCCAGGCGTTTTGTAACCTGGTCATAAAAACAGACTAGATTAGTCAGGCACGATCTGCTTGCTACGAACCCGTGCTGGTTTCCCCTCAGCATAATTTGTCCTGCCAGGCTCTCGCAAATGTGAGCCTTGATAATTTTTTCAAAGATTTTGCTAAGGATGGAGGTGAGACTGACTGGCCTATAGTTGCCCGGGTCCTCCTTCCTCCCCTTCTTGAAAATGGGAGGTTTGGAGGGGTGTCTTGAGTCTGAAAAGGTTAAGAACCACTGGAGTATAATCTCTACATCAAACATTTCTGGCCAATTGCCAATACCAAGAGAGCTGGCTGAGACTACAAACCAGAAGCAAAAGTCAGGGGATAGACTGAACGTTCCCTACCTGCAACACTCCCCCCCCCCCCCACCCCCAAGACTGCTAAGGCCTTTGAATATCCCCCAGCAATTGTACTCTGTATACTAAAGTCAGTGACTTGGAGATTCTTACAGTAGTACAAACATTGTGCTGATGCTGTTACCTTCTGCGGGTCCTGTCTCTCTTCTTTAGGTAGGAATGTGTTGAAAATTTCTAACCATTTTACCCCGAGTTAATTAACTGCATAACTTAGGCTCTTTCAGTATACACCAACTATATGCCTAAGATGCTACAATGCACAGGGTCCTTGTATTATTTTACAATGTTATTAAGCTATATAATAACTATAAGCATTTTCTTTGTAAAATTTTAAATGTACTAGTATTATTTATTATTAACACTGAATTGTCAGATAATCAGCGTATTCATTATGTTAATGTCCTTCCATCTTTTGCTTAGGTAGGTGTATGATGTCTTTGATCTTTCCAGAATACTGGAAGTGAATCGTTGGTTGCATTTGGCTGCTGTTAGTATTTGCATGGCGATTGTTATAACAATTATTTGTGGCTGTCTGTCATTACTTAGGAAGAGCACTTTTTTTTTCATAGTTTCAGGGTCGGAAGGGACCTAATAGATCTTCTAGCCCGCCCCCCCGCCAGGGCGGGAGAACAACCCAAAAACACAAACAAAACCACTCACCCTAAAAACAAAAACGGGACTCAAATGAGTCCAGCCAGGTAAGTATCCAGCCTCTTCTTAAAGATCCCCAGGGTAGGGGCCAGCACCACCTCCCTTGGAAGTTGGTTCCAGCTCCTAGCCGCCCTGACTGTGAAGTAGTTTTTTCGGATGTCCAATCTGTACCTCCTCTCCATCAACTTGTGCCCATTATTCCTTGTTATGCCAGCAGGGGCTAGGGGAAACAGCGTCTCCCCCAAACCCTTCTGGTTCCCCCTAGTGAGTTTATAGACGGTCACCAGGTCCCCCCTCAGCCTTCTCTTGTGGAGGCTGAATAGGTTCAAGTCCCGCAGTCTCTCACTGTAGGGTCTGCCCTGTTGTCCCCGGATCATGCGGGTGGCCCTCCTCTGGACCCTCTCCATGTTGTCCAC